GATTACAGGCGTGAGCCACCGCGTTTCACTGTAGTTGTCTAGATGACAATCCAAAATATGCCAATATCTAACACACGTTTAAAACTCAGTATTTCCTGTATTATAATGAATTAATGGGCCTCAAAAATTAAACATACTGTTAGCTGGAAAATAGCTAATACTTATAAAAGCAAGGTTAAAAAAAAACTGGCAGAGGAACTATAAAAAATACTGGTTATTAAATAATTTTGTCCTAAATGTTAAAGTAGGTTCTTGGTCAAAAAAGTTACCCATTTCAGCCTCCTAAATTAAGAGGAAAAAATACGTGATTTTTAGTCAAGTGCACTGCACACACTGCAATTACTAACTACCATGTCTATAGACACTATCAGTGAAAATCACAAAATATACATATTTCATTTATGAAATTTTGATCCAAAATCTTAAAAATGTTTATAAATCTTCAGTAAATTAAGACAAAAGATACGCCAGAGGTCATAAACTAGTGAACTTGACTAAGTTCAACTTGCAAAGACATTTTTGTTGGATATAATATTAAAATATTAGGTAGAATCTTTCTCAGGTTCAAAGTCCTTACCACATTCTACAGCCTTACTTGTCTAGTCCCTGAAAGCATTTAAGTTTGTAAACCTTGGATGAATTTTTGGCATTTTCAGCAGATTAAGTCAAAGTAAATCATTATACAGAAACTCATCTTGGAAATTTCCCAAAAAGTGGTCTTTATTTTATAAATTGACAAATGAAGTTAGATTCATCTCGGATCAGAACAAAAGTAAAAAACAAAATTTGGATGCCTTCCACCTCATATCTTTTTCCTTTGAATTTGACTTAACACTTACTTGAAGGTAGACAGCTCATTAGGGAAAAATAAAGTTATGGTACTACTGCTACTTTCCTAAAGAATAAATGCTGATGGTATTTTACCAAATGCCCTCACAGATTTACCTTCCTATAGACTTCTTTGTTTCCCCAATTTATTTCCATGTCTGTGACTTAAGAGTGGGACCCAGAATTATTGCTGGGCCCTACTATTAGCTAGTGCTAGAATCATCAGCCCTAAGGTTCTAAATACTCTAAAAAGA